GGGCAAACAAACTGGTATTACTGGTATTTCTTATTTGAGATACCTATAATGAATAAAACTGTATTGAGAGGTTTCAATTTTGACTACAAAACGTGTTTTGTTAAACTGTTCCAATTGTGTAAATGTCTGAAATATATACCATATATTTGTAACAAGTTTATCTAACATTTATTAATATAAGCTAACTAGGCAGACTTTGGTGCAAGTAATTTTAAGAATTATACATACCAGAGACAAAGACATATAAAGACCTAAAGAGCCACATGCAGCCTGACTAAGTCAAGATTAGACAGTCATCTTCCCCAGCATGCAGGAATACGCTAAGACAGAGGACAACCATGTTGCAGGAAAAAGTCTTTCTTCAAGCACTGCCTAGAACAAACAGTTACATCTAAAGTTAGATTTTAACAATGCACTTTTTATTTGATATCAATGACTTTTCTTGTTGCTACAAGGCGAGATTTGTTCATTTCTTGTTATGGTTAATGAGACAAATTCATTCTTGGTGTAACTCTACAGCCTTCAATGGAATTACATCAAGGATGAAGTTGGCTCATGGAATTTTGACATGAACAAATGATCAAACTATGATCACAGAACAGCAGCAGCATGTTTAGTCAATGCCCCATGTTCCCAGACAAAGCTGGATTACAAAGAACTAAAATATGATATTGTCTATTCAGCTGAAATGTTTCACGATAAGATTTTAAGTCCTGAATCAGCCCATTAGTCTCCTATATTGCATACCTAAATGTCATGCATTCAGATTAGGTTTCCTGTGCACCATTCAGTGGGGTATTGGTGACTGCAACAATTATTATGCTGAGTTATGAAACTTCTCATTCAATTAGTCCCAAGACAGTTTTCAAACAAATAATGTTTCATCAACTTAATTCAGTGGTATGTAGTGAATCTCATATTGTTTTGACTGGGTGAAAATAAAAACAATTTTATTAAAAGGCCAATCTGGCAGTACCTTAATCTTAGAAATTAAACATGAATGTAATGCAACAGGAATAAGGATGTACATAAATAGGAGGAAATAATAATAATTAGTATACTATTTAACAATTAATTATAATATTTAATAATATTAAATAATAAAAGGCCTTTCTCGTAACCTCAGAAACAGATAATTAAATCCCCTAAATTCCTATAAAACAATAGTTTTCTGAAAATCTTATTTTTTTTCTTCTGGCTGTCAGTGAACCATATTTATTTTCTCCCACAAAAGAAAGTTCTCCTTGTAAAGTTGTTTCTAAAGACCACTTAAAAATAACTATCAATTTACCCCTCCTGTTTGTCTGCTCCAATCCTAAATGAACTTTTGCAAAAATTCTTATATTTGGCTCTTCTGACTGCAAAAAGAGATATTAGAGGCTCTGGAAATCAAACAGGAATATAATTAGAAGCACCGAAGTTATGACCTCTCCTTGCTCTCGAAGCGCTCTTTGCTGTTAGCATAAAACTCCTCATTCATGTGAAATAAGCCACCCGTGAAAGCAGCACTGCAGTTGCTTGCAGAGTTAATGTAAGTGCTGTCACTGCACTTGCTGGAGGGTGAAACTAACTGTCTTGTGGTGCTGGAAATTAAAGAGCTGTAAGCATGTTGTGTATGGAGTGCTGGGTTGAAGATCTGATTCCTTTTGATAGCTTTTCAGTTGTGGTTTTTGTTTTCAAAAAATAAGTCATGTATTATTTAGATTGTAAGCAAATTGGATCAGGGACTGGCAGCACAATGGAGCCTCAATCCTGAGAGGGTACTCTGGACGCTACAATAATACAAATAAAAGCAACGAAAGGATGATCTCTCTCTCTGTCACATGGTAGGTGCTGTTAGTAGTTGTGGTGCTCCTATCAGAGAAGTTCCTTTCTAGCAAAAGAGAGAGCTTGTTAGCATGGACCTGTAATTACAGGTCCAATTCTGCCAATACTTACTCATGTGAGTTGGCCTTATTCACATGAGCAACCCCATTACATTCCTTGGAACTATGTTTGTGGGTAAGAACTCGTATGAATAAGAGTTTGCAGGATCAGGCCCTGTAATTGTAGCCATCAAATAAACCCTCAATCAAAAAAGCTTGGATGATCAATACTCAAGTAAATTATTTACAACACTGTTTTCTGTCATTTATCTGAAAACATAAAGACAAGAAAAAACAAATATGAATTTTAATTTTTTTTACCATAGCCTTCCTTTCCATACGCTAATGATGGTGGAATTGTCACTTTCCGTTTTTCTCCAGGACACATATTCATCATAGCAATATCTAATCCTTTTATGACTTGGCCAACACCCAGAACAAACCACTTTGGGTGACCTTCATTTTGTGTCCGACTACAAAAACAATAAAAAGCTTTTAGCGAGTAGACAGCAACAAAGTCAGTGTTCAAATATTTAAAAAAAAAATCACTTTAACATTTAAATACAGTATTATCTTTGAAAAGTGTGACATTATTTAGATACATTTTTTAAGAAGTCACAGTAAAGTGTACATTAAAAAGTAAACAACTGCCCATTTTTATTTATATTGAAGTATTAACATTTTTTCTGGTATAATTGGTTAAAAATCCTAAATTGAATACACAGAAAAGCTCCCATTGACTTGTTAAAGAACAAGTAAAAATTGAGTGCAAAAATTGCACCTTTCTGCAGAAAGTACAAGAGGGGCACTGGGCAAGGAAAACTCTAGTAATTTCCCTTAGCAGAGTTTCTCCAAATCACACAACTGGGGGGAGAATGTCTTCTCTCCCCTTTTCTCCTCCCGCTGAACACAAATACTGTACACAGAATAAGCTGCAAAACAGTGGATTACAGAAGATATGCAGGATGATAGGCCATCCATCTGGTGGCTTTATTCCTCAACACTAGAGCTGACCAATCCTTCAGCTCCTAGACAATATGTCTCCATTGGAGCCACACTGCCAAGTGTTCCCCTAGCATGCAATGCTTCCCCTTCCCACCTATTAAATCAAAGATCTGATGTGAAAAGAACATTGTTAAAGCTGCAAAACCAAGCACGCAAACAAGCACTGCCAATAACTTGCAGTTTCAAGAATTACCTAGATCTCCAGCAAAACCTATCAACACTACCCTATTTCAACCAGTAGCGGGCTTCCACGGGCATCATATTTTGTCCTAAACTGAGCATACTGCTTCCACACTGGTCTCAGGGAAAGAAAGGCCAAGGTCAGGAAAACTTTGATATCCTTTAAGTTTCGATTTTTGGATGAATTAATATATCTGTTGGATCCAAAACTGTAAAAGTTAATATTTTTAACATACTTCAAACTTATTTCACAGCAATAATGGTTAAGTAAAAGGTTGCTCCTTTTATTTATTGAAGAATACAAACTAATGCACTGATCAGGCAAAGACTTATGCATGTGTGTACCTTGACAATCTGTGAGCAAAGTTGCTCACGTGCATTGTGCCTAGTCTACACAAGAAAACTACACTATTTATGGCACTCTTAAATTGAAATAAGAGTGTCTACATAAGAGGATGCCACTGATTTAACTAAATCAATTTCTAACAAAATTTAGTTAAATGAATACAATTTTCTGCAAGGCCTGAGTCTTTGCAAGATTGGGGCTTAATTTGGCCTAAATATTTTATAATGATATTTACAGCATTTGTGGTTTGAAAGTATAGCTCTAGATATACATTTATATAATTCTAAACCTCACTGTAATTTTGGGCACTGCATACAAGTTGTTTTCCTTTCGAACAGATTCCGTATTGTCAGATCTGCTTTAACACAGATTTAAAAAGAAACAAAAGGCTAAATGTTTGCCTATTTTTTATTTGCAGAGGAGAGGCAAATCTGGTGAAGAAGAATAGTATAAATAGCACAGTTATTTACCTGCAATAAAACTTGGATCCATCACCGGCCAGGTAGCCATCATAATGTGCATTAAGCAGATCCCCCTTCTTGCTCTTTGGCTTGCATTCTTTGGGCACATGTAAAACTTCTATTTTAACTTCCTCTGCAGTGGCATCCTCTTTCTTTTGTCCGTGCGTGTGGATCGTAAGAAGACAAAAAGCCTGTAAGAAAAAAACTAATCTGACTCCGAAAGTCATGCTTGCTAAACTCGCAGGCTTGTTCTGACTCAGGTTCTTAGTGCAGCCTCAGAGTAAGAGACTCCCGCCCCCCACCTAGGCTGCGTGGCATTGTTCGACGTCAGGCTGACACTAACTGGGGCGTGTACATCGTATCCTCCAAGATGCTGTGTTGCTGCGGCCTGTGAGCTCGGCCAGGGCGCTACGCCCCGCCCACTTGCTCCTCCCCCCTTGACAATTTTTGATTGCCTGAGGTCTGCAAAGTCAGTGCTCGGTGCGGGGTTGTCAGTCTCGTGCGCTTGCGGGGGATTCTGCCCGGGACTGACTCCTTCCCTTGAGACCGCTTCCCTCCCAGGCAGTGTTTCAAGTGTCCCCTGGGGAAGCGGGATGCATTACCACCCCCCGGGGGGCAGGGACTTTACAGGGTGGGCTTGTTACCGTTTCTCCGCTGGTGCTGGGGGGATTTCGCGGACTGTATCACAAAGGGTCTCGCAGGCCCTTGGGACTGGGGGGGGGAGTGTTGCTCTGTGTGTGTGCGTACCCCCCTCCCCCAGGAGTTGGCGATGTCTGCACCGTCTCTCCCGCCGGGCGGGGGGGGGGATTTGGGGGGTGCGCGTTTCCACTTCTGCTGTCGCAGCATTTTCCTTCATGTGCATTGGCCCAGCTTCGCTTTCACTCCCCTCATCCGCAGGGGGCCGAAACTTGAAGCGCTGCCACCAGTGTCATTGCGGGGGGGGGAGGTGGGAGGCTTCTGCTGAGAACGGGGCTGTCCCGCGGGCCGCGTGTGTCTGGCCAGGGCAGGGTAGGTTCGCCCGGAGTCACGGCACGGGCCCGCTGGCAGGCTTAGTCGGCCCCTTTCCTGCAGGAAGTAAATGAAACGTCCGGGTCAATGGCAGCAAACACGACGGCGGGGAGGGGGAGGGGGAGCCAGAGGCAGCCGAGGAGCGGGGCGGGCAGAGCCTGCGGGGAGCTGGACACCTGCGGTTCCCCCCTCCCCGGACCGCCATGTGCATAGGACATGAGGCACTCTGCCGCGCCTGCTGCCCCTGTGCATAGCCCGCTGCGGGCAGCATCTGCTGGGCCAGCCGGATCCTGGGGCTGCGGCTGCTCTCGGCCCCCGAGCTGCGCGGCTCAGCCGTAAATGTCCATAGGCGGCTGCTGAGCTGGAGGGAAGGGGGAGGCTCTGCCGCTGCTGCCGCCCGTTCCCAGGAGGAGGAGGATGCTGCACGGAGCCTGGCCCTGAGCTATGGAAGGAGTCCTGTACAAGTGGACCAATTACCTGACAGGTATGGGCAGGGCGGGGCTGCTCCTGGCGCGCAGCATCGCTCTTCCGGGCGGTGCCTGGGAGTTAGCGGGCAGCGGGCCTTTGGCACAGCGGGGAGGATGGAGGTGCTGGTGCAGGGGGATCTAGGTGAGGGTGCGGACTAGTGTCCGCTGAGGTTACGAAACCAGCTGGCCTGTGGAGCTGCTCGCCGCCGTTTGACCCTACCTTGCTTGGGAAGAAACGGACAGTTTTAGCCTCTGATGGCTGTTGGGTGGCCTACCGTAGAGCAGCGGATTGCTGGTTTCCGTTCAGTAGCCTGTTGCTCCTAGGCTCGGAGAATCCAGTTGTGGTGCAGCAATGGGCGATGTCCGATTCTGTGAGTGAGTGGAAGACTTTACCCCCCAGAGCTGTTGATCTGCACCTTTCACAAGAACTAAATTCATGCTGCACCCACGTTTTAAAATCCTTCCTGGAGATTACCCGAGATCTGGGAGGTGTTGGGGTCGTTTTAAAATACAGTCATTACTAAATCGCATGCTGTTTTAATTGAAGATATGTTGCATTCATACTCAGTATTTTGGAATGTACTTATATGGCCCCGCTTGCTGAATATAGCCCACTGGTCAGGGTGTGTGCTACAGTTATCACTCTGTGTCTAATCTACAGAGAATATGGTTCTGGTACAGCTCTTAGCTTGAAAGCCTGGCTCTTAAACTGTAGAGGCTCATGCTTAAAGCTCTGGGAGCCCCTGGTTCAGTCAGTGGAGGATGATGGCCATCATATGACCACTTCACAATTCTGAAAGTATGTATCCTCACAAGACCCCTGTTAGATGGGAAAGTAATGTTATCCTCAATTTACAGAGAGCCCGAGGTCATAAAGGAAATCTGGCAGAGCAGGGAATTGAAATTCTAGTCTATCACCTTAACCACTTCCTCCTGTAGGAAATAGCTATGATAAACCATTAATTGCATCCAAACATATTGTAAGATATAGTCATTGCACCTGTCTCTGCGTGCTCTTTCCTGGACACATCTTGCTCAACACAGGTATCTCTGGGTAGCTAGTACAGCCCTCTTACCCCTCGAGCTTTCTCTGGGCACTTGCCTGTGAATATCAGCACATCTTAGGTAATTTTCTTACCTCTATCTCAAGAGTCCTGCAGATCTCTTGAAAACCCTATGACTAACTATGCCTCTGAGTTCTGGGCTTGAAAAACCACTAAACGTTTATTTAACCTGAATAAACGTAACATAAACATAACAATACTTCTAAGATCCTGGCAGTGCTTCCCTTGATTGCAGTTTGTCCGACCCTCTTTGTCCTCAGGAGCCAGCGCTACCCTTCAAATTCAGCCTCCCCTCCCCAGTTCCAAACATGCAGTCTGGTGGGGCTTCTGTCCAGGAGTCCTAGCCTTTGTGTCCCCAGCAACATCTGTTCTTCTGGTCTTCATCCAAAAACATACCATATCATACAGTTGTGCTTATCAGCAATTATCCTATAATGTCTCATATCATATAATTTCAAGTTAACATAGTCCTTTCTCTGTGACAGTTCAGAAGGAAGGGGCTTGGTATTGCCTCTTGAAAATTGTCAGTCTTCCTGTAGTGAATGGCTCTGACAGAAAGTAATATTATCAGTCTGTTCAAAAAGTGATTGAAAAGACATTAACTACTAAGGTGTCTTAATGGAATGGGTTCTGCAAATAACAATATTTCCTAACCTCCTTCTTATTACAAGCATTATTTTTGTGCCCATCACTGTGTTGTGTGGTATTTTTGGGAAATGGTGCTTTCCTATTTAGCAGGTAAGACCTTTGCTGTATTGGATAATTCTTCTTGCCTTGTAAGACTGAAGTTTGGAATAGTCCAGCCTCTGTGGCATAGCAGAGCCGAATTGAATGTGGACAGTGACCCAGAATGGAGACAATTAATGTGGTACATTATTTCAATAAATTGCAGAGTTGCTGGACACTCACAGTTCTTGCTGATGTCCATGGAAGATGTGACTGCTCAGGCTCTCTGATCTCAGGCTGGATCTGGCCCTGTGGTAGGAAAGAGAATGTGAAGAAATACCGCATAAAAAATCTTGCAGTGTCAGTATAGTAACAAGTAGTGATGACTGGGAACCACTAATTTAGAGTACCAGAGGAAAGTAATTAATAGACGACTACAAGTTCCTGACCCAGGATGAAACATGACTGTTCTCTTAACTTAGGAATTTCTATTTTGTATGTCCAGTCACAATTAATAAATTGGATGATTGTGAGCACAGGATGAACTGTAACTGTATAAATGTCTTAGTTCTGTTAAGACCAGTCTAATTAGGGAATCCAGAATAGGACAAATGCTAAGGAATTTGTATTGCAGTAATGTCTAGCTGCCCCAACAGTGATTAGGACCCCAATTTCCAGTGGGTAGAATTTTCAGAAGTACTCGTGGGTCTTATAAGGACAAGTCCTTTGTAGTCTCTTTCAATGAGACTTTCCCCCCTAAGTTTCTTAGGCTCTATTCAAAATCCTTCCCTGAATTTACACATAGGAAGAGACAGTCTCTCCTTAGAAGAACTTCCAGTCTAAGGCACTGATCCAGCTAGATCTGTGTTGGCCATCCACACAGATTAAGTTGCAGGATCTGGTTGTAAATAGACACATGATGGACAAAAAGCATGAGAAAGGAAATATTATCGCCATTTTACATCTGGGGAACCAAGGCACAGAAGATTAAGTGACTTGTTCAAAGTCAGAGGGGCTGAGTCAGAAATTGAGTTCAGTAGAAGTGTTACAGTAGGCACAGCGGCTGTACTGCTGTAGCGTAGACACTTATTAGAAGGGGTTCTTCTGTCACTGTAGTAAATTCACCTCTCCGAGAGGCAGTAGCTAGGTTGACGGAAGAATTCTTTCATCAACCAAGTGGTGTCTGGAGCTTAGGTTGGTTTAATTACATCACACAAGGTGTGAAATTTTTCACAGCCCTGAGTGATGTAGTAAAGCTGACCTAACTTTGTAGTGTAGACCAGCCCTAAGATAGGGTGCATACTGTAATATCTTCTTATAACATAGAGATCTGTTCTGAAAGCTTCTGACATATCATTCCAAATGTTTCGCAATAGGCTTGTCTGTGTACACTTGCTTGCACCAAGCTTCAAGACTGCATTCTTCAATACTCCAGTGCCAGCTCTCAGAGTTTTATCACAAATCTCTTGATATTTAGTATTTATCTTAAATCTCCATCTCCTGTAGTAAAGTGATTGCATGAGAATCTCAGCTTCCCCCCTCCCCCTTTTTTAAAACGTCTAATCCTCATGGTTGTGGAGAAAAGCTTGAAAGTGTGAAACCTGAATGCTCAAAAGTTTCATGATATTTTGGGACCTGACTTATAATTTTTGAACCCTTAGGGTTGGCAATACCATAGTTCAGAAAACTGTTCTATCTCTGGCACTAGTGAGTTGATTGGTTTTTAATTAGTGGTGCAGGAAGATCTGTGGCTGACAGCTTTTTGTCAGCAGTGGGTCCATCCATGTGTGCAGTTGGGTTTTGTAGACCTCATCCTGTGGCCCTCACTTGTGTGAGTAGTTCCATTGAAGTTAGTAGAACTAAGTAGCAGTTGGAGTACTGGTGAATAACGCCCTGTATAAAATCACGGCAGTGTCCTGGTTAAATGTTCTAATTTCATGGGATATGTATGACCACCAAGTCCCACCCGCAACCCCAAGCTGCTGCAGCTTTTCCAACAGTGGGGACATAGAAGCGGGTATGCCTTCTTCTAGCTCCCTGCTGACTGAAACCATGCCTGCTCCTGGGAGGGGGGGGGGATTAGTGGACCATTCCCATATGGGAGTGGAGTAGGGAGGTGGTGGACCAATCCAATCTTGAGGAGTGGAGGCAAGGTGATGTGGGTCATGCGATGTCTCACTATTGATGACAGCCAGTCCAGCCTAGGTCATTGCCTCTGCTTTCTGCCCGTTTGGTAGGGTGAGGGGGCAATGCTGACAACATGCAGCAATTAGGAGCCCTGGCCTGCCCCAGTGGCCTCCGGCAGGCCTAGGGGAGATGCTGCAGGAGCTGTGACCAATATCTGTTGCCTGAAGCCCAAGCAGCTGTGTGAAGCCCAACAGATATTTGGCTAATTTCACAATTTTCACACAGGCTGTGACACTGTAATTTATACAAGGCTTTACTGATGAAAGTAAAGGTTGTAGGTGTCAGGCCGTATCAGAGAGAGAGAGTCAGTCAGTCTGTGTGCCTGTCCTCAGGTAAAAAAAAAGATTAGTTTCCAGTGTAGATATTTGTGGTCCTGGAAGTCAAAAACTATTTCCCAGATCAAAAAGAAGTGTTAGCTTTGGACAGAACTGGGTGTAAGGACTGAGCGGGTGGGATAAAACTATATAAATGAAAAAGCCGAACAGCACAAAATTTTTTAAAAAGCCTTTGAAGTGCTGCAAAGCACTTACTAATGTTAGTGAAAACTTGTAACATAGCAAGAGTGTCCGCACTGAATTATTTGTCAAAAATATATTGCAGCTGTCAGTTTATTTCTAGGGAGAAATTGAATGAACCTCTGCTTTCACCATTAGCAAACTCACTGAGTTTCTTTAATTTTGTTTTTCCTCTTCCTTTTCCCTTCATAGGATTCCCCTTGGAGACAGTCATTAGTACTGCATCCTTTCACCATGAAAAAGATTTCTTTTCTGCCAATTCAGTGGAACTAATTGTCCCCCTAGAGTGAATCAGTATAGGATCATATAAAATGCTTATTCAGGCCTCTTGTTTAATTGTAGTGCCGCTGGCTTTTTTCTGCTCTCTTGTTATTCTGTTCCTTTTCTGTGCTGCTCTGCTTCAGTGAATTCAGATGTGTTTGGACAGCAAAGTTAAGCTATCAGAACCTGTGAAATGTCAGTGGGGTGGTTGCCTGGCTGCCTGTATACACGCTGATAGAGCATGATGGAAGAGTGCAAAGGAAAGAAAACACGGAACTAGTTCTTCAAATGTAGGAGGCTATCATGATTGTCTAACCATTTTCT